ACAAGTGCTATGAGGAGAGGCTGAGGGAGCTTAGGTTGTTTAGCCTGGAGAAGAGGAGGCTCAGGGGAGACCTTATCACCCTCTGCAACTATCTGAAAGGAGGTTGTAGTCAGGTGGGGGTTGGTCTCTTCCCCCAGGCAACCAGCAGTAGGACGAGGGCACAGGCTCAAGCTCTGCCAGGGGAGGTTTAGGTTGGATATTAGGAAGAGATTTTTTAGAGAGAGAGTTATCAGGCATTGGAATGGGCTGCCCAGGGAGGTGGTGGATTGACCATCCCTGGAGGTTTTCAAGACAAGACTGGATGTGGCACTTAGTGCCATGGTCTAGTAACGATGGTAGGGTTGGACTCGGTGATCTTTGAGGTCTCTTCCAACCTGGTTGATTCTATGATTCTATGATTTAGGTTGGAAAAGACCAAGGTCATCTAGTCTATCCATTCTTCCAACACTGCCAACTCCACCACTAAACCACATCCATAAGCACTACCTCTACATGTCTTTTAAATGCCACCAGGGCTGGTGACTCTACCACTTCCCTGGGCAGCCTGTTCCTGTGCCTGACAACCCTTTTGGTGAAGATTTTTTTCCTAATATTCAATCTAATTTCACTTAAAATTTTACTAAGATTGAATGAGCCTCCTCTGGGATGCCACTTTAATGAGATGTATCTTGTTGAAATACGAAAGTCTTAACAATGAATATTCTTGGTATGGAATCAGAAAGGAGGATTTTAGATTTACTAATTTCCTGGTATGGAGTACATGTAATGTATCATGTTCTCTGCATAGACTAAATAATTTGTATCCTTTTCTTTTGAAACTATTTTGTATGCAGTAGCTGTTACTTTTTGATTGGTTTTTTGGGTTTTTTTCTAGGTATGAGAATTTCCAGAGACGTCTGACACAGAACCCTCTCTTCTGGAAAACATGAGCTTCAATCCTGTCACTTGAAGGTCTTCATGTGTTACCTGAAAGACATGTCAAGTAACTCCACTGAAGATTCTTCGGGCAGGGGAAAAGCAGAAAACGATTAGTCTGAATAGACAAACTTGTAACTTTTATATTACTCTTGAACAGTATTTAAAATTAAAATCAGTGAAAACTGCTTGTCTACATGTTGGTTTATTTAACTGAAGTATTTGGATGCAATGAGCAATCACTGTTCCATGTGCATGCATAGAAATACTTTTTGAAACTGCATTTAAAGTGGAAAAAAATTACAAGATGAAAAATGGCAGCACTGTGTCATACTTGTGTGATGTAAACAAAATAAATGCAGTTTTTCCTTCTTTACCTCATTCTGAAGTGTGGTCAGGCAACTGAGAATATGCTGATGGTTTTCCTGCTGGTACTTGCACTGTAAGTTTGTTAACTTTAGACAACCACTATTCCTGTGCCCAGCTCATATAAATGGTACATTATTTCCCTTTTTGTTAGTAAGACATCATAGAGCTTAATCTCAGAGTACCTGTCTAACTTTTCCTGTATGAAAGTGTAATTAAGAGGAATCTTGGGGTACCTTGGCTGTTCTAGACTTATTCCCAGTAATAAAACAATGTAAAATCTTGTTTCCCTTTGAAACAAGTAGGGCATCTGATAATGCGGTCTGGGAATGGTCATTGGCTCCAGAGGCTGTCACATTGACTCATAAATTCATGGGATTTTGGGGTGGTCTGAGTAGTTCTCATGAGGAGTGCCATTTCTGCTAGTGCGATGGCTTCAGCCAGATGTGCCCAGATATATCATACAAGGTGAGCTCCAACTAGCCTTATGTTCACTAGAACTAGATTAGCTTGATCAGAAATACTATTTTCAAGAATATATCTTGCTTTTTTTAAAGTTACTTTCTGTAAGTAAGAATTAAGACTCACTCCCAAGCCACTGGCACAAAAATTAGTTTATATTGGCTCCAGTGACTGGGGAACAAAGCCTGTAAGGATTCCTTTACCAAGTAAAGTCAGTCTTAGGTACAGTTGTCCTGAGAATGGAACTACACTCCAGAAATACTATTTTCAAGAATATATCTTGCTTTTTTTAAAGTTACTTTCTGTAAGTAAGAATTAAGACTCACTCCCAAGCCACTGGCACAAAAATTAGTTTATATTGGCTCCAGTGACTGGGGAACAAAGCCTGTAAGGATTCCTTTACCAAGTAAAGTCAGTCTTAGGTACAGTTGTCCTGAGAATGGAACTACACTCCTTTGAGCCTAGGTACAGTTGTCCTGAGAATGGAACTGTACTTCTTTGAGCCTGCTTGATGACAACTCCTGTGTTCACACCTCAGCCCAAAGTGGACTCTTCCCTTTTACAGTAGCTGAGGAGCTCATCAGAGAGACTCAGAAGAAAAAAAATGGTATGAGCTCAACCTGGCAGCCAGAAGTGGAAGAAAACAGAAGACTGGTGAAATCCAGGAAAGCTGTGTAAGAACAGGTTTTGAAAAGTAAAACTAATTCCATGCCAAGTAATTAACTGTACAAAGCTCAGGGCTATTTCCCAGAAGCCATGTAACAGGCCCAAGCCCAGACAAATTGATCTCCTGGTCAGTCAAGGGCTTAATTTTCTTAGAGACATATTTGTAGGCCATATGTTTGTGGAGAAGCAACAATGAGGGAAGTTAGCAAAAGCACAGGCTGAACTCCCTAGTCTGCATGGGTCATTAGGATCATTCTGTGTGACCTGTCAAATGCTGCTGTAGGATATGATAGTTTTGTTACACAGATGGCAGATGTCTCCTAGCTGGTGATGTTACAAGTGGCAGTAGAAGAGACAGGACCAAGTGGAAGCTGGACTGGTCATTGCTCAGGTTCTCATGCTTCTAAAGAAGTAAAATAAGTTACACTCCCAAACAAAATACATTGCTTACATCAACTGCTTGCGTATTCATGAGATCTGTACTAATCATGAAACTGTATTGAGCCCAAAATACTGATTTAAAAAGGGTTTAGGTTAATACTGTAGAGGCTAAATAGGGCTAAACAGATAGACTGCAGGAAAGAAATTTTCAGATACCCTAAATAACTGCCTGGAGTTCACAATTTATCTCCAGCATGAGCTTTGTGACTGCTTTTGCCCTGGATCCAGTGTCTAAAGCTGTAAATGAAATTATGTGGGCTTTTGAATAATTCAGCAGTGTGCATTAAGAAAT